GATCGCACAGACTAGTAATTGATATAACAAGGATTCACACACACACTGGCTAGCTCCAGAACTCACCTTAACTCTTAACATTAGACTGCCTGCCAGTAATCTTGACTCATTTTCCTGGAGTGCCAGTTGTATTCAGATTATTCAGAGGAAATATTTACACTGTTTTCATATTGAGCACAATAAATTATAACTGGAGATACAAAATTTGCACCAATTTTTTAAAATTTGGAGAACAGTGCTAAATTTTTGTTTTTAACACCTTTATTGTGGTATGACTCCTGCACAATAAACTACACATCTTTCAGATGTACAATTTGATGAATTTTTGATAGATGTATATGAAGTGAAACCAATGACATCACCACCAGAATCAAGATAGCTAACATGTCCATCACCCTGCAAGAGTCGCACCAGTTTTTAAGATACAACTCTTACACTTCAAAATGTTATTAGTCAGATTATAACCTTGGTGTCCTAAGCTCCTCTACTCTTGTATAATTCTCTCTTTGTTGTTTTAAGGTGTTTTGGTGGGGTTATTTGAGAACCATTCTCCTATTTTGTGTCGATATTAAGTAAGCTCATATTCACCCCAGATGACATCAGAACAGTCACGGTAGCAAAGACGAACACCTTGCTGTCTTTGCTTCTCTATACTGGACCCTGCCTCATTATTTTTCCTTTTCTGTGGTTTGTATTCTGCTTAACTGAAAACCTCAGCTAGGGCTGAAAGTATTTCTCCTTTATTATGTGGCATGTTGCTGTTAAGATAATTCAGTACATACTGGAGTGCTAATTGACATTGATATTTATAAGCAACTTGTCTTCTTGTGTGACTAGTTCCCTTGAGACCTCCTGAAATTAGTTTGACCAGTCGAAGTCCCACGGATATTCTCATCTCCTGGCTGCCGATCCCAGCCAAGTATCGGCGGGGCCAAGTGGTGCTCTACCGCCTGTCCTTCCGCCTGAGTACCGAGAACGCCATCCAAGTTCTGGAGCTCCCGGGGACCACGCACGAGTACCTTTTGGAGGGCCTGAAACCTGACAGTGTCTACCTGGTGCGGATCACTGCTGCCACCAGGGTGGGGCTGGGAGAGTCTTCAGTGTGGACCTCACATAGGACCCCCAAAGCTACCAGTGTGAAAGGTAAATCTGACTTTTAAGGAAGACTAGCACATTGTTTTTCCTTTTTTTCTTACCTAAGTTATGTTTGTATTTTAAAATTTCGTCTTATGAATTAAAATATTCCACAGATCATGAGCTTAATTGAAAAAAAATTTGAACTTTTTACTAAGTAGTTGCTTTTTGCGTAGAACTCATTAGCGTGTAAAACTTTTGGTTACTCTATGTTTGCTTAGCAGATCTTTCATAGACAGATGGGTCCAAATCTGATTGAATTACCAAAAATTATTTATTAATAGAGACCTAATTAATATCATTGCCATTTATTTTTTAAAAAATCAATTTATTAGAAAGACTATAATACTAGGAAGTTGTAGACCTTCCTCTTTTACTAATGTAGACTGTAACACGCCTGGGCTTCTTGTTGTTAATTGATTAATCATAATACCTATTCTATCATTGAGGAATAGTGGATGGTCAAAATTAGGGAAATACTTATTGCTTCTTTGAAAAACCTTAAAATATACAAATATAATTTTGTTCTTATTTATATACCTTAGTTTTTTAGTTAGTATTTTATATTTTTAATTCTGTGTCAAAGTTTCATCTCATTGTGGAATTTCAAAAATTAAGGTTAAGTATAACTGTTGGAATTGAACTTTTTTGCAGCTGTTGGTTTAAGACTGAGAGAACTCGATGGTCCTGTGTTTTCATGCGAATTATGGGTCTCTTACGCATACTTTTCTGGTGAATTTTTCTAGCCCCAAAGTCTCCAGAGTTGCATTTGGAGCCTCTCAACTGTACCACCATTTCTGTGAAGTGGCAGCAGGATGCTGAGGACACAGCAACCATTCGGGGCTACAAGCTGTTCTACAAAGAGGAAGGGCAGCAGGAGAACGGACCCATTTTCTTAGATACCAGCGACCTTCTGTATACTCTCAGTGGTTTAGGTGAGTGAACCTGTCCTGCGCTTCTCCTTTTTCCCTTCCGTTCTGACCAGTTGGGGAAAAAGTTATTGGATATAAGGTAGAAGAACTGACTTCATGGTTAAAAGAAAAGAATTGACTTTTCTACCCCACTGCGTGTATCCTACTGCTCAAGTCAGTGTGTGGTCCTTGACTCTCCATTGTGAGTAAATCAACAGAAGGTCAGATAACCAGGGTGTCCTTCTGTCTGCCCCCCACCTTTGCACATCTCCTTTTCTTTCTCAAGTTCACTTTTGGTAGAGTGACATGCTGATCAATTCTTTTGGCTGTATGGTGGATATAGAATAGGAGCGTAAAATTAGAAATACCACAAATGATCAGGTAATACACAGTAATTTAAGTTTAACTTAGAAATTGAGAGTGCTATGTAGGTGTATTATTTTGCATGTGTAAAATACATGTAAATTGTGTACAAAATAATGCTCTTCTATATGAGACATGTAACTTAATATTTACTTTATATTGCTCTAACCCAGAAACACTAAAGAAAAAGCACTTAATTTTGTGTTTGGGTTCATCAGAGTTCTGAAAGGCACTGTTTCATTCCCTATCCATCCTGTCTTTGCAGAGTGAAAGAATTTCACGATGTGAACATGTTTAGTAGAAAGTAAAGACCCTTAAAACTACAGTAAATGCATGAGTATAAACAGACGGATGCTCGAGGTGCGGAATGCACATTGAGCTATTTGTTGCTTATGAATAGATTTTTGCCCGTGAGTACAAAGCAGCAATTTTATGATCACCAACTAAATTCCTACTGAATTGTTAATAGCACCTTCTGCGCACACTGGAAATTTACAGCACTCTGGGTTTCCCTGTCACGGACTGCCCTGTGGAGTGTGGGAAGGGAAGAGGCACAGTGGTCCCATCAGGGACTGCTTCATCTATTTCCCTGGCCGCGCAGCACAGGCTGTGAGAGCAACGTTAGACTCAAGACCCTGTGCAGCACCCTGAGAAGCAGTGGTGGGAGTCTTCTTTCAGACCCAGGAACACAGAACCCCATCCTTCAGTTCTTTGCCGTAGTCTTCCAGATGGCATTTTGTTGGTAATCTTGTTTTGTCGGATTTTATTTAATCTGCATGAGGTTAAATAAGTTTCACTATTGATCCCTGTCACGCAGCTTTATAAAGGACGAGGAGAAGTTACATATGTTCCAGGGTGACCTTCCTTAAGCCACTGATACTCAGATGACTTTAGCCTAACTGACTGTGACCATTCAGCAACATTTATTTCCAGCCATGCCTTCTCGGTGTGCCCTCCCTTTCCAGATGCATGTCATTTAATCAAGAAAACATTAGTCGATATCAAGTAAGAAATAGGATTTGGGACAATTGTTGATGAAAAGTCATACGTCAAGTTCAGTACTTCCAATTTCTTCACTGATAAGGAAGTACAAATATATTGAAGATACAAAACAGTGGATTCCTAGAGCACTCTTCCCCAACTTACAGGTAGATGAATAATGAACAGATGAATAATTTATTAGAAAAAAATCAGAATAATGCTCTGCTTGTGAAAAGTTTAGAGAAACATTATTATAACTTTGTCAATTAAGAGCAATTCTTTAAAATTTAAAAAATTTCCACAGACTGCACGTATATGAAGAAGTCCCATTGATCTTTGTTGAAATTTTTAATATCTCTGAATAGTAGCTTTCAATACTGTAAACGTTTATTTCCTCCTCTTTTAAAAATAGATCACACATATTTACTGCTTGTGTTTTTATGCTGTAAAATCCTTTGCATATACTATTTGGGGTAATTCAGTTTAAAATCATTTTATAATGCATGAAAGTAGGGAATGATTTTGTTATAGTCAATATGCCCCATCTATTAAAATAGCCCCGTGTTTCCTGACTGGAATTAAACTGAGTGGTTGGAGTAATTGCAGTGCAGGGTGACAGAGGACTCTCACAGCTGTGGGGCTTTCTTCTTAGACGCCCGGCTCCACACCCCATGGCGGGATTGGCTGACCGGCAGGCATGTGGTTGTGTGGATTCAAGCGTTGTACAGCTGTTGACTAGATCACCTTTAAGATGCCTTTTTATCTTGAGAGCCCTAGGGTCTAGTCTTCCTTCTCTGGAAAGCCACGCTTGGGGCCTAGCCACCCTTAGAACAAGCGAATGGGTTTAACCCACTAAGCAGACAAGCATTAGCTGTTCTCAGTCCTTTCCTTCTTACTCTTGGCTACTGGGAGGGCAGTGTGTTCTGTTAACTGGGCAGCTGACCATCTGTGACCATTTTAGCGAGAGCATCTGGCGAAAGCTGCCTGTTTAACAGAGAGTGATGTGTCTAGAGGGCAGTAGGTTAAGGGAATCCTATCTGTGTCTTACATGGTGAATACTTGCTTTTACTGCGCTTTTGTACATTAAAGATACTCTAACTGGAACTAGATTTACTAAGTGGGCTTGGAAATGAAATTTAACTGCTTCTGTTTGCTGATTCAATGTCAATTTGAGTAGCAAAGTGATACCTCAAAATTTCATTTTCATACGAATCCCCTTTTTGATGCCCTAATACGCATCCTTTTGTTTCCACTTCTGGTAATTAAGTTTTCATTAAAAAAGTATGTTATTGGGACACATTCTCCTTAGTAATAAATACAGTTCTTTGTTTCTGAAAGAAAGAAATAGGTGAATGAGTTCATATGTTTCAATTCATTTAATTAACATTAAAATTTTTTAAAGTGAGGCATTATAGGACTAGATGAAAAGATGTAACAGATGTGACCTCTGCTTAAAATAAGGATTAAACCAAAGATTAAATTGACTCACTTGTCCAGTTTTCTCCCAAATTTCTGATTAACTCAATTTAATTGTACATAATAATGAAAGTTATTTTAGAACATTTTACTCTAAACCTTCAAAGTTCCACTCCCTAAGATGTAGAATGTTTTGTTTTTTTTAAAGCGGCTGAGAAGATTCTTTTGTCTTTATTAGTATAGTGTAAATACTGGCAGAGCAATGGAAGTATTTTGATGTTGCTAGTTTGTTCTCGTTTAATGATTTTAAAATACACAGTTTGATTTTATTGGAAGTGGTTTACTTTGGGGGAGTTGGATATAAAGCATTAGGCTTCTGATTTAATGTTTATGTGATTTGTTCTAAATTGTGGTTTGCGGTTTTCTTCAGGATTTTACATCTTTGTAGTGATTATTTTCACTTAGTTTTTTTTTTACTTGGTACTTTCAGTATTTAGCTCAGTTTTAAGTACAATTTTAAATGTTTGTTATAGTCATCGCACAATAAACTGAAGCAAAATTAATAGCTACACACTTGTGTTCCCTGATAATAGACTGATGGAAATAATTTGTTCCTCTTTTTTTGCCTGTTTATTTCAGAAATTGACTTCAAATTCTGAAGTTAGGGTTTCTAATGGTAAAGGAACTGTTTCCATAAGCTGATTGTCAGAAACTGATCTTAATTGTTTCATCTTTGTAGGATGAGAAAGTGGGGGATTATTTGGATAGTGTCTTTGCTGGTTTAGCATTTAGGACGCTGATATTAGATAATCTTCAGCTTCTATTTTGCCCAAGAATTTGTGCTGTTAGGTTTCACAGTAAGTGTGATGTGTTGGCATGCTATTTAGCACCAATTGTAAAGATCCAGAATATTTAAAATCATTAGCAACATTTTTGGATCACTTGCACATCTTCAAAACTCAATCTTTTTTTTGAGAAATCTTAAGTTAAAACTCCTAGTTATTGCTGGGAGTAGGAGGTGAAAGAAACAGTCCCGGGTTAAGGATTAATTTCAGAGTCCCTTAGCCAGTTTGTATGGAAGCATGGTAAAATTAAGTCAGATTTCTGGGTGTTACCTTTCATCATAGCAGAATAGGATTTGGTTGTGTGGTTACATATCTCATGAAAGAAAACAGAAAACTACCACTCGTAAGCCAAATTGATATAGCTGGAGGAAGTTGTAATCTTTCCTTTAGTCAAGGCAGAACAAGATTTTGTGGCATAAAGGAGACCACTTTGATCAGAGAGGGTTCATTTTGAACCTTACTGTAATAGCGATTTTGTTTTGAAGAGAATGAGGATCACTCAATTTACAAAATACGGAAGTCACGTTTTAAAGAAGCCGGAGTCTTTTCAGAGACTGTGTTCCCTCTTCCCCTTCACACAAGGAAGCCTTAGACAACATCCAGAGTCTTTGGAAGCCTGCTACAGGTGAAAACCCTTATAATGTGGTTGTTTTGCAACTTTCTGACTGTACCCCCTTAAGATGGAGTGGAAAATACACTGTATTTTATGATAAAATCGTCCTAATTGTGAATAATTTCAGGTGTATTGTTCCATACTGACTCTTATTCTATAAATTCGTTTCAGATGATCTGGTTCCTTGATAGCAACTATCAGCTCAGATACCTTAACAGATGCCGGGATTCTTCTATGCTAAAGTAATGTACCGGCAACATAAATGGCATTAAGCGTTCTGTCCAGATTAGCTTTTTTGTGTTCATTTGTTAACAGACCATTTTTAGGGTCGGTTTAAAAATTCCACTAACATTATTGCTGTCATTTATCACAGACAAGGTCTTTGGGATATAAACTCACATTTTTTTGCTTCTCTTCTGTTCTTACTGTGCTTTTCCACAGTTAATTTTCACTTTTAGTAGAAATAGTTGCTCTGAACAGTATCTGATTACAGTCTTTCATTCTGTCTTTTCAAATAATTACAAAATAGGTTCATTTAACCAAAGGCAGTAGACTTCTTAAAGGAATGATTTTGGAAACCACCTACTATGTGGGCCATAAAACTGACTGTGAGTAAATTATAACAAAACAAAGGGAACGCTTAAAAAGTACTGTCTCTCACTTCTTTCGCTGTCAAGCATCTCTCAAGTCACCGTTTCTTATGTTGTGTTTAATCTGTTACTGGGTCTTTGGCAGAGACTTAGGAGTACTGAACTATTTTTTCTTAATTTACCAAGGGAGCAAAATTTTTAAAATATTTCATTCTC